TTATTTAAGAAACTCAACTTACGAAGGAAAAGAAACCTCTCCAGGACATCAAACACACACATTGATACATTGACAACGACCACCAAACACTGAGGGAAAACACAGGGCTTAAATGAACTGGGACTAATTAACAGAACACAGGTGAAGGGAATTACCAATTCAACAGATTGGGGAAACACTAACAGGACTAAGCCAAAATCACAAAGACAGGGGGAAATAAGATCACAAAACTGAACTAAACACTGAAAACGTGACACAAACACGTTCAGGAGAACATTAAAGATAATCAACAGAAACATTCAAATGTAACAAACTGGAGAAAAACATAATGAAAAATAAAAAACCTAGGCTATAGGCCTAGGCTATGCACAAAAAGGGTAAATGTGAACAAAATAAACAAATTATTGGAAAAAAATGAAAATAAAACAAATTACACGTGATGAGTAAATGATAACTATTAATTATTAAATAAAAATAAAAAGAAAGCAAACTAACTTTATCAAAAGAATCATTATACAAAGTATCATATTGTTTCAAGAAACTGTTACATTGGGAAACATGTTACATAACGGAAGGAAAAAGAAAAAGATTTGAGAACAGAGTCTTCCTTAATCAAAAAAAGTAATAGAGTAGGAAGTGAGCCCACAAAAACTTTTGTTGGATAAAGATTAATAAAAGAGAGAGAATATATATTTCTTAGCCTTGTTGGGGGTATTAGTAAATAGCAAATACTATCTAATAAATAATAAAATGATAATACTCAAATAAAAGACTGGGCAAATAAAAAATGGGTTTAACTTAAGTTATACAAATCTCCTGAATGAATTCACAAGAAGAAGGAATGTATTAATGTTTCATCATCACAACTAGGAACATCAACATATTTGGTCAAATTGACAGGGTGTATTTTGTGCAAGATATTAAATATTGGACTTGTTTGGTCTTGTTGGGAATAAAGTATTAATGGGGCAACAACTGCTATTCTCCAGTCATTCTAATGGGATTTACCTTTAGGGATATTGTGTTATTCTTTTAAAAAAAAAATTGAGAATATGTTGAATATGTTTATTATTACATTTATTATCATTAATACTAGCTCCATTTAATAACAAAACTCTTTAATATGACTGTGGTTATATAAGTGATTCTTATCAAGTTGGATGGGGCCTGTGGCAATGGCTCTGAGCACAGTCTTATATTCTTTAAAGAAGTCACGGACAGCCATGAGGTGCTTATAATAATTTTTTTTAGAAGAATCATCAAATACTGAAAGGATAACATTTATTCATCTGATAATAATTATTCCAGGAAGGAGTTCTGTGTGGTAAAAAATGAGGATGTAACTTCCAGGCAAGAAGAGCCTGCTGATGAAAATTAGATAATGTGAGCGGCAGGTTATTATGAATATGATTATATCTTACAATAAAAGGCTGGCAATTTCATTAAAGATATGATATGGGTAAACAAATAAATAAGTAAATAAAGCCCAGACAAAATTTGGATTAATTAAACATCTTTTAAGCAAATTTATTTTAAAAGTGTTATAGTAATATGAAAAATTTCGTATGCTTGAAAACTGTTTAACTAATTGAATGGCTGTGCCAGTTAGACCCCGAGTGGTGCTCAAGCACCTGCCCTTTTGGCCTCTGATAGATAAATGCCCTTTTATTCTGACATTTTTATATATATGTAAATATATGTTAGTTTTGTTCAAATTTGGCTCATCAGTTCTCAATCAATTCTCAGTGTGTGTCGACAACTTACTCTTACTAATTCTGTGAGAGCGCACAAGCCCCTCCCACTCCCCGACACCCCTCGTCACAGCCACCACAGCGCTCTGCAGAGCAGCGAAGCATGGTCAAAGGCGACGCCTTGGGGTGAGAATGTGTTGAAGCAGCATCCACGTCTCCCGGACCTGCCCTCATTGGTGACAGCCAGGTAACGATCGCGTTTGCCCTAAACTTCGGCACCGTTTGTCACCGCTGTGAAGTTAAAACACCATTAAAGCATCTCAATACAGCCAGCCTAACATAGGCAATAGCCATCCATTAAACTTAAAGGCACAGCATGTAAGTTTCACCGCTAGAGGCCGCTTTTTGAAAACGATAACAAAGGCACAGCTTGATGAGGCCATGATTGAGTGTGGAATCATGGAATCATAAAGTAAAAGTAATGTGGTGTCGTCTTCACATCCGATCCACAGCCGATGGAGTGCGGTCTGACGGGGCTTCATGGTAACGTATTCAAGTTTTATGTGCTGTGTTCAAAATCGCCCCCCCTAATTCACTATTTCCCAGTAGCAGCTCCTGGCTGTAAATCTATGTAGGGCAGATTCTGGGTCTTGGTGCTAGTTTATGATAAACAGTTTGTAAGATTTATATCCTAAGTGCTGAACACATCAGACACTCTTTCGACAGAATTCTAATGTCCTTGCATTTTTCAGACAGACTTTTGCACACAAGACAAATGCATAATTTTTTTTTGATTTGATCATAGAGCATTTTAAGATTGTCATATGGTGACAGCTTAAAATGTTAATGTGCCCCTCACATGTTACAATGTACCCCACCTATGGGGCATGTTGTCACATTTCAACTTTTCTTTCAGGGTAAATCAAGAAAAAAGTATACACTGTATTAATAAAACAAAACCACATAATTGTTCTAGACATGTGGGAAATTAATGTGGGAAAAAATAAATACTCTAAATGGATTTGCACAAACTGTGTGACTGTCAAATTTCCACTTCCTGTCATTTCCAATTCAAATTCAACTTCCTGGGGGAATTAATTCAATTCAAATTCCAATTCATGAATTAAATGGAGGCCAATTCTGAAATTCAGAATTTTGCTCAAGCCTGCTCTGGGAGGGATGCTGTCATCATCTATCTGACTGGGTCAGTATTTGATCAGACAGTCATGGTTTGTTCTCCAGTTGTCCACCTCTATAAATTCATACAACATACTTTGTCTAATTTTAGGCACTAGAATATTGGTTCACAAACCTAGTTTAAACATTTTTCCTAATACGACATACATTATTCAATTGGCATGGAGGTCAAATCCATACGCAACCAATGTTGCTTCAGTCCTATAAAAACATCTCCTAACAATATGCATAACCTGCAAACTGACCTCCACAACCCCTCTCATGGCACAATGGAGCAATTAGCCTAAACTTCTTGATACTATTGACATCTACTGGTTTTTACAAGAATTTCAGAAAGGTTCAGACTCTCAATCAATTGCAATGCTCATGGTGTTGTCAGGTGTTTTTTGTTTTTGTTTTTTTTAATGGTGTTCATCATTTGGTGCCACTCAGATTGCATACCAGATTCATTAGATTGGATGCTATACTAGAACTATGATTGTTCCTTAAAATAATAACGAGTCTTCTTTTAATTGAAGCATGATGCTGCTGTGACACAATGCAAATATACTTCTAACAGTTACATAGTGCATCTAAAAACTATAAATAATACTTTGGCTGTTTAAAAGTAAAGAGACAACATTGTTCATATAAGTCATAATATCATCTTGAAAAGTTTTAAGTTCTTTGTGAAGAAAAGTCAGTCTCAGTTTAACTATTAGCCAAACATTATAGCTACTGCTGCAGTGATCTCATCATTTTGTTGAGCGGAAGTTAGCTCACCCTAGTTCCCTTTTTTTGATTTTTTAATTATTGCTTAAAACATTCTGTTTTTTACATGTTTTGTAGCCTACATCCCTATAATATTCACAAATTAACACCACTTTTTGAAGTCTAAATACAATTGCCTAAAGTATTCAGCTAAATTTATAAATTATCCACACAACGGTTGCACTTCAGCATCACCACCAGTATCTGTCTGACAACTCTTTCAGCTTTGATTTAAAAAAAAATATAGAATAGTTTGCAAGAGGACAATGTTAAACACAGCGATGCTGTGAAAGCAGACTAGTATATGAGTTTATCTGTCTGCTGTGAGGATGTTTAGTAGCCTATTATACGTGGAGTAGCAGTATTATTTAGCCACTTTTTTTAAATAATAAAAGGGTTTTTTTTTCATTTTTTTTATAAACACAGATATTTAATATATTTTATGTGGAGAATAAAACATGAAAATATTTTGAGTGTTTGTTAACTACCTTATTTCAGGCAAAAACGCATGACTTCAGGATGATGGAACCGTAAGTGCTACATTCTGGGTTTTGGCCTGCAAAAAATGTCATCCCTGCAGTCATCCTGCACAGTAATGACAGAACATAAATGAACCGTGCGTTTGGGATAAACATAACAATATCGTCCGTTGTTGTTGTGAATGCTAGTTATCGTCGTAGTTTTTAGCCTTGGTTAAAACGAGATCTTTTGTTGCAAATAAATCCAAATTGCTATTTTAAAAACCCATAGGGAACTTAGATGGATCTCAAGGCAAAATATCCTTTAGCTACACTGCACATTTTTGATGTCTCTGTTCTAACTAGTGTTGTAGTACACTGTAAAAAGTAATTGCTGATTCTACTTAAGAAAAACTAGTGAATTTAACTTACTTTAGAAACTTAGTTGATTTAACTTGATCACACTGTGTACTATGAACTTTTAGGTGGATGCAATAGTCAAACTAAACAAATCTAGTACATTGTACTTAAGATTGGTAAGTGTATTGTACTAAAAGCATTTTCACACTGTTGCAAATTTCTGGAGCACAGAATTTGGATAGTAATAATAATAATAATAGTGAAATTAACAACATTTTTAGTAAATACCATTCAATTAGTTTGAAAATAGCTAAATATAGTTAATAGGTTAATATATAGTTAACAGGTTCTGAATCTTTTTTTCCTGCACGCTTAAAAATAACTGGGAAGATAAAAAGCAAGCCCATCGGCTGCTACTTCACAGTCCTTTATATTTTTAATAACAAAGCTTTATATATTTACTTTGGTTATTAAGTTTCAGCATGAGACGAAACAACTCGGGTTTTTTTTTCATCTCGCGCATGCGCATTTGCGCAATTGGACGGTTGAACTTGAGGAGGAAGACGAGACGACATCGACGAGGGACTTCAGCTCGTGTTCGGGAATGGATGCGGCAGCAAAACTAGGTATGGTAGCCTCTTGAACAACTATTTATCAACTTTAATGTGATTGTATAGCTTAAAAACAGAATTTATTTTGCTCATTGTGCAGTAAGAGGAAAATACACACTGAAGTAACGTTAGTTATATGTCGAATGAGACCAGTTGAGACAAGCGGCATAACATAAGTTACTAGATTAAAAAACGATTTTTACTGAACACGTGTTTTATATTAGTTACAGTTTGTATGCTGTGTTAATCGTTTATAAGTTTGGGATTTATCTAATAATATGTAAAAACCCTGGCTGTGCGGCCTAGATAGCAGCTAACGTAACTTCTTTCTAGAAAGTTCAATGCTCACGTGTCGTTCACATGAAAATTAATAACACGATGCATTAAGAAGTGTAACTAACAAGCAGTTATTACCTTATTTTGTCTTTATTTTGTGACAGATTCACTCAACGTTTCATCAATAAATTAAAGGCTAAATCTGGAGACATTGGCTCCAAACTTAAGATTCTGCAGCAGATTCAAAATGACGTAAGCTCATCGACATATCACAATTATGTCTCGATTGCAAAACATATGTTGCTTTTGCTGTTTTTTGCTCTGACGTTTTGCTAGTATCGAGTGCTAATTCAATATACATTTTCATAACTTTGCAGAAATCCAATATCAATGCGGAACGAACAGCGTTCTTCATCATGGCCTAGTTCTCGGAGAGGACCACAATGATTTTTACAAGACATCTTTTGTAAGTATTTTCATCTCTGATGTGATTCTTGTTTAACAGTCTAACTGTTCTTCAAACAGTTGATATCTGGCAAGAAGAGTTATAAAGGCATGAAAAACAGTCAGGACAGTGAAACAAAGTAAGGGTTGGAGAAAAGAAAGTGAAAGATAAATTAAGAGTTTAGAAGAAAAAAGACAGTTATAAGATACATTTTATATTAGTTTTAATTTATATAACCGGCCATCAGTTTTATTTGTCTTTTCATGCAGTGGTTTGATGAATGTTTTCCCCCCTGGATTCACTGCTGTGTCCTCTTTGAAAAGGCCTTTACATTTAGACACAAAGGGTTATTAATTTAGTTTCATATTTTAATGACTATGTGCTCTTAAAGGGATAGATCACCCAAAATGAAATGATGTTGTTATTTACTCACCCTTAAGTTATTCCAAACCTGTTTGAGTTTCTTTCTTATATTGAACACAAAATAATATATTTTGAATAAGTTCGGTAATCAAACAGTTGAGATTATCCATTGACTTCCATAGTTTTTTATCCCACTATGGAAGTCAATGGCTACTCTCAACAGTCTGGTTACCAACATTCATCAAAATATCTTCTTTCAGTTCAGCAGATGAAAAAAAACTCATACAGGTTTATAACAACTTGAGGGTGAGTAAATTATGACAAGATTTTAATTTTTGAGTGAACTATCCCTTTAAAGTAACACTCCACCATTTTGTTCCATATTAAACTATGTTATTCCCTTAACAAAGACGAGTTGATGAATACCTCTCTCGTCTCAGTGCCTGCACTCAATCGCTCTGGTGCATGGAGACACATTGTTAGCACTTAGCTTAGCCCAGTTCATTCATTAGGATGCAAATTGAGATGAAGTTAGAAGTGACCAAACACCGCCATATTTTATTTTGTGTCACCATACTTGGCCGTGTAACCGCATTTGAATAGAGAAAATGTGGAGATGTTTGGTCGCTTCTCTGTTTGGATCCTAATTAATAAACTGGGCTAAGCTAAGTGTTAAAGTGTCTCCGCACGCCAGAGCCATTGACGACAGAGGTATGTATCAACTCGTCTTAGTAAAGAGAGTAACATAGTTTAATATGAAAAAATAGTGGAGTGTTCCGTTAAAATATGTCTTGTTCTATTACCTAATTTTTGTTATATGCTATTCCCATTTTTAGGACTGTGATGACAATGAAGATATGTCCAACATTGAAATGTGTTCTGACAGTGATTCCCGAGTCGTCTGCAACCGCTGCCATACCCTACTCCCTGCATCTTGATGCCACAACAACGGCAATGATTCTGGAAGGTACAGTGATTGTGGATGATCTTGAAAATCTTCCACAAGCAATGAGCTGTCTTTAAAGGAACACTCCACCATTTTGTTTTTATATTAAACTATGTTATTCCCTTAACTAAGACAAGTTGATACATACCTCTCTCGTTTCAGTGCGCCATTCATTAGGATCCAAGCAGAGAAGCAACCAAACACCTCCACATTTTCCCTATTTAAATACAGCTACACAAGAAGTTACACGACCAAGTATGGTGACAAAATAAAACGTGCCGCTTTTCTAAGCGTGTAAAGTGGAGAACTACAATGTATGGCGGAATAGCACTTGAGAGCGCTTTGACTTGGCACAGTAATATCATCACTACTGATGATGAGAGGATTTTTTAGAAGTGACTATATTACTGTGCCAAGTCGAAGTGCTCTCAAGTGCTATTCCGCCATACATTATAGTTATCCATTTTACACTGGTGTAATCATACACCATTCTCGGTCATGTAACTACTTACCAACGTGTAACTGTATTTAAATAGGGAAAACGTGGAGGTGTTTGGTCGCTTCTAACTTCATCTCTTTTTGGATCCTAATGAATAAACTGTGCTAAGCTAAGTGCTATCAATGTGTCGCGTCACGCCAGAGCGATTGAGTGCACGCACTGAGACGCGAGAGGTATGTATCAACTCGTCTTTGTTAAGGAAATAACATAGTTTAAAGGGATAGTTCACTTTGAAATTAATTTTTTTGGTTACACTTTATTTTGATAGTCACTTTAGACGTTCTACTAATTATAAGTAACTTTTCAACTACACGTCAACTAACTCTCATTAGAGTAGTAGTATATTATAGTAGACTGTTAGTAGACTGTTAGGTTATGGTTAGGTGTTAGGGTTCGGGTTAGGAGAATACTGTAAGTTTACTTGTAGTCGCCAAGTTACTTATAGTCAGTTGAATGTCTGTTGGGGGACCAACAAAATAAAGTGTTAGCAGATATTAAGCTGACAATCTACTAATCCTCTAATGACAGTTAGTTGACATGTAGTTGAAAAGTTACTTATAGTTAGTAAAATGTCTACAGTGGACTATCGAAATAAAGTGTTACCATTTTTTTTATATGTTTTAGCTTACCTCAAGGGCCTCCAAGATGTAGGTGTCTTTGTTTCCACAGTATTTTCAATTTTTACATTTTTCGGTCAAACCGTTCTTGTCTGTCAGTCATACAATGGAGGTTTAGGGGGTCCACGTCAAAAAGCATGCACAGAGGAGTCCAAATTAAACATGATTTAATGACTCGTAAATGTAAGTACACATTGATGGCCTAAGACACGAAACGAGCGGTTTGTGAGAAAACGAACAGTATTTATATCGTTTATACCTCTTGTTAACAGCCATGTTCAACTGATCTGGATCAGATGTCCAACTGAACCGAACTGAACCATGTCCAACGTTCCGCTGGAAGTGATCTTGCGCGCGTCTACGTCACGCATTGTTTACACAGAGATTTCTGAAGTTTTACCTTTCACTGTGAAGATCTAAACATATTTAGATATACGGGAAATCGCAATAGAAAATGATTTCAATATATCTAAATATGTTTAGTGAAAGGTAAAACTTCCGAAATCTCTGTGTAAACAATGAGTGACATAGACGCGCGCGAGATCACTACTTGCAGAACGTTGGACATGGTTCAGTACGGTTCAGTTGGACATCTGATCCAGATCAGCTGGACATGGCTGTTAACAAGAGGTAAAAACGATATAAATACTGTTCGTTTTTTCACACAAACTGCTTGTTTCGTGTCTTAGGCCATCAATGTGTACTTACATTTACGAGTCATTAAATCATGTTTAATTTGGACTTCTCTGTGTGGTGGTGACCATAGACCTGCATTATATGACTGACAGACAAGAATGCTTTGACCTAAAAATATCAAAATTGAAAATACTGCGGAAACAAAGACACCTACATCTTGGATGCCCTTGAGGTAAGCTAAAACATATCGAAAATTAATTTCAAAGTGAACTATCCCTTTAATATGAAATAAAACGGTGGAGTGTTCATTTAAGAGATCTCTAAAGAAAATTGTTCAGTACTGTTTTATAGATACTTCACTGTTTTTCAATTGTTGAAAAGAAAAAAGGGAAAAAATATCCTTATTTAACAGGATGTTACTTGTTTGGTTTTGGAATAGTTTTATAAGAAGAGAATTTTAAAGAGAACTGTAGTAGGTAGGAAAGGAATTCTGTACCAGACTATGTGACTTGCATGCTCTGCTTTCAACCACTTTGTAAAGATGTTAAAAACAAAAACATTGTTTTTATTGTCTTTAGTACTTTGTTTTTTTTCTTGAGTGCATTATGTGCTTTATTTCTAAAATGTTGTTGGCGGGCCAGTAATGTTTTAACATTATTGTTGTTGAACAAATAAACATTCTAGTGGTTTGCCAAATGTGTTGTCTTTCTTTGTATTCTCAACTCAGAATTTTGAGTACAATTTGCTTGAGAAATTTAAGGCAATCAGTTTCCACACATTCCTCTAGTAAATAGAACAAGCAGACATGTTAAATTAACTGTTTTGTGTAAGTTCTGCTTACAAATCTCTGTAAGTTGCCTTAACTTGAGATTATTAAGTTACCTGTACTCAAGTTTTATGGTAACCTCTACAAATACACAAGTTAACTCTACAAAGAAGTAGAGAGTAGTATCAAGTCAAAAATGATGACCTAATTTGCTTGAAAATTTTGAGGCAATCAGTTTCCACAGCTTTTCCTAGTAAAGTCAACTTATTACTTTTTACAGTGTACTCGAGATCACTTTTTGATGGTCTCGGTCTTGGTCTCGGTCTCAGATTTTGAGGAATCTCTGGATTTTTTTTTTCAAGACCAGACAAGACCATAACTGTGAAAATATCACTAATTTGTCAGCATATTGACTAATATTTTGTTAACAGCCTTGCTGTATGTAAAACCAAACTTACTGATTCAAATCCAAGCAATAACGTGTCGTGACTTATGTATTTTTGTGACCGCTGCCCGTCACCCATGTATTCATGGTCATGTAGCCGATTGTTAATAAAAGAAAGAGAAAAGTGAAGGCGTGTTTTACAACTGTTCTAAATGATGGAAGTCACCCAGGAGTATTGAATAAAGACGGTTTATATCAGCTTTGAGTGTTAAATATCTCTGTTTTTATGGGAATGTGGATCTTTCAGATCGATCTGAGAGGATTTGAGATTAATCTCTTTTGATAATGTTTCTCATTTTATTGTGTCATATAGTTTGGGGCGCTGGTCTTGGTGTTGACTCGGTGTCGCCCTCCCTCGGTCTTGGTCTTGTCTCGGTCTCGATACACTCTGGTCTTGGTCTTGTCTTGTTCTCGGGTTAGGTGGTCTTGACTACAACACTCTAACACACATAAATAGCCTGAGTGTGAGCTGATGAGTTGAATCAGGTGTGTGTGTTTGATTGGGGCGATATCTAAAATGTGCAGTGCTGGGGGTACTCCAGCATTGGAAACCACTGACCTAAAGGTCTGGCCTCCATTGATCGAACAAGACAGACAAGTGCAATTCGAGTCCGACTCCGAAATGGTCAAGCAACAATTAGCTGCAGTTTATCCTCCAAATCGATAGGTGGCGAGCGCGTACATAAAAGCCTGGTTTTGAAAAAAGCTCGCGCGGTGGTTGTGGGTAATATTCATGGCGGAGTTCTGAATCTGTCTGGAGAGACACACCTTCCACTTTTTCTTTCTATATATTCAAATAGTGGATTTAACTTGCATCTTTACCCGTTGTAAAAGCGCATTAGCGTCCATACATTTGAAGTAATGGCTGAAACAGGCTCAGGTGAGCAGCGTTTATAATATTCAATCAGTCTGATAAACACTGCAGCTGTTCTTGAGCGCTGTCCGGAATGTAAACAGATCTTTTTCTTTTACAAACAAATTCTTATTTGTTATATTCGTATACATTTAATGTATTAGGTTATAAATGTATAATTAGTGTTATAACGAGACCTAAACCGATAGTTAACTGCGTCATTGAACTGGCCTAATACTGTTTGTTCATGAAATACGATGCTAATTATGTTTGTATAAGTAGTTTATTGTATAAGAAATTCTTTTAAGTATATTAACGTTATCGGTTTCTGACAGTTAGGCTTTTGAATTTACCTTGTTTCGATAGCTTGCATTACGAAGATCAAATTATTTTGTTTTAAAGGTTCAAAGCGTAACGTCAGTTTGCAGTCATATAACAGTAGTGAATGTTGTCGTTAGGAATTACACGAGTTGATTCAATCATCTGTCACTTAAACTGAATCTGTTTCCTCTCAAGATCAAGCTGGTGACATGAAACATGACAACATTTCATCCCCCGGGGTCTCAGATCAAGAGAAAGAGATGGCAACCAATGCTTTTGAGGCTTTTAACGTAAATAACTATAATACTGTTGTCTGATCAAGTGGTTTTATGCATGAATATTAGTTGATATTATATTGTGATTATGTGTCTTTAGGCTGGAAGCTATGATGAGTCCCTGAAAAACCTTGACAACCTTCAGGATCTGAACAAAGATGACTACAAAATTACAATGAATAAAGCAATCACTGAGTTTTATAAAAGTGGGCAGACAACAACCAGCACCCTGAAGCAGATGTTAACTACCTTGAAAAATCAGGTATGGTATTACATTGGTCTCTGTTTCATTGTCAAATGTTTGCTCAACAAATGCCATAAAAATGCCCAGCAATTATAGTCAGGACTTAACATTATTTTTTTTACTGTGGCTTGTGATTTCCCAGAGAAACTACCCACTCAGCATTTTCATAGGCCACAAGTTTGACATTGATACCTTGAGGACCTTGGCCCCATAGATATTTTTAATATTATCTAATATTAATAATAGCTCCTGTCACTTTAAGACCTGACACTCAGATCCATTATACTCTTACACATTTGTTTTTATCTGTTCAATTTAGTATTTAGAACTCAATTTAGTACTAAGAGGCGGCTTTTTGTGCCCACTCTTTGCTTGCGAGCACCAAACCTGCGGGATAGTGCACAATTTATGTGCTATAAGCACAATCCCATGCTGAGATTCAAGCCCTGTAAAACCAACTATATTTATCTGGAGCAAAAGAAATGCGTGGGTGAAGGGAGGCGGGTTTGTGTGTAAACAGGAGAGATATGAGAGAGAAAAGGGCACAGCTGGTATCTATTCTGTGGAAAATTTGTATTGGAAGTGTTTCAGATATTACACTATTGAAAAATCTGTATTTTTGACAGCTCTAGATTGCACATAGGATTATATTTCAGATGCCCTTTTAAAAGACTACAATTGAAAAATTTATGTTTTATGTATAAAATTCAACCCGGCAAAGTGGCTAGCAGGAGTAACTGCGTTACATGCCACTGCTGAAATCCACCCGTGTTTGGCGGGTTTTGTTATAGTTATATGTTATTATTACTGATAATTAATTGTTGTTTGCAGATGCATACAGCCGTGGAAGATATTGATGGTTTGGATGATGTCGAAAACAGTATCCTGTACTACAATCAAGCAGTGATCCATTACCACATGCGACAGTATTCAGAAGCTATATCCATTGGGGAGAAACTCTACCAGTTTCTCGAACCGTTTGGTATGTTTCAGAATGCAAATAAAACTGTTATGGTTCTGCAGAGAGAGAGAGTTGAGTTGTACAGCATTTAGTTCTTGCACCAGCACCAGAAGTATTAGGTGTTTTGCTGGTGCAGTAGTGTGGCATTGTTTGATGGGTTTCTCTGTCCCAGTAGAAAAGTTTGCTCAGGCCGTTTGTTTCCTGTTGGTGGATCTGTACCTACTCACCTTCCAGCCAGAGAAGGCTCTGCACCTGCTGGCTGTGCTGGAGAAACTCACTACGAAGGAAGGGAACAGCAAAAATGGCAAAGGAGAGGTGAGAGATGTATGCCTCCTTCCAAATAATTTTGAGGAGTTTTTTCCTGTCTCACTGGTTCTTGATGTTATATTTAAAATAGAAGAAGAAAAGAAAAAGAAAAATGTAAGAAATCATTTTTCAAATAACATTACTGATAAACCAATGTAGGGTTCTGATGGCACTTTTTATTCTTTTTATTGAAAAGGTTGAATTCAGGAATTACTGATATGTTTAATTATAGTATTTTTTTTGGCATTGTTCACAATGAGAATGCTTCTGTGGGTAATAGACCAAATTCACTTCATTTCAAAGGTTTGGGGTGTTATTTTATTATTGTTTTTTTTAATACAATTTAAAATATCAAATTTTGATTTTAATATATTTTAAAGTTTAATTTATTCCCTTCATGGCAAATAAATAAAATTAAAAGAACAGCACTTATTTGAAATAAATTAAATAACACTTTAAAATAAGGTTCTATTTGTTAACATTAGTTAACTATATTATTTAACATGATTAAATGACTTTTAAAGCATTTACTAATTTTAATTAATGTTAAATTCAACATTTACTAATACATATTTAAAATCAAAAGTTGTGTCTGTTAATATTATTTAATGGACCTTAGATAACACGAATAAGCAATGAACAATTGTAATTTTTATCAACTAATTATAACAAAGATTAATAAATTCAAATGTATCGCTCAATCATAGTAATGAGAAAGTATTGTAAAGTGTTACCAAAATAAAAATACATGTCTTTACTGTCACTTTTGATCAATGTAATGTGTCTTTAGTGAATAGAAGTATTAATTTCTTTCAAAAATAAATCTTACTGCTCCCAAACTTTTGAACAGTAGTGTGCCTTATTATATTTTTATCTGCCAAAGAAACAAAACATTTTCGCTTAACCATTTCCCCAAACCATTTCACTTAACTGGTATTTGACCAGTTCCTGCCCTAGAAAATGAAGAATGGGTTAAAAACAATGGCACTTTGTAAGATGCTAAATAGAGTTGTTGCTCCAGATTCTGTTCTCTCAACTTCAACTTTTTGTATCACGTGTCATTTACAGAGTGCCAACAGCATGAATAAGGAATCTGCCGCTCTGAAAGCAGAGTTCACAGCTATGATCGAGGCAGCTAAATCAAAGATGCACCAGGTGAGAGCAGATGAATAATGAATGTTACAGCACCCCAATTAAACATAAGAAATAATGAAATAATAAAGGTTTGCAATAGAGTTGCACTGTTAATTAGTTCCTAATATAATGCTGATCAGCTTCCAACATTGTCTAAAAATCAACCCGTTTTGGATATGTTTGTGTGTGCAGTATAAAGTACGAGCCTATATCCAGATGAAGTCACTGAAGGCCTGCAAACGGGAAATCAAATCTGTAATGAACACATCTGGAAATGTGAGGATTCACAGTCAACAGATTTACACAATACATGCATACTGTAAACTTTGGTCAGATACACCTGCACATATTTTGTAATAACTTCTGTTGATTGTCTGTATTTACACATTCCTCCCTCAGTCTGCGCCCTCACTCTTCTTGAAGAGTAATTTTGAGTATTTGAGGGGAAATTATCGTAAAGCCGTGAAACTCCTCAACAGTTCAAATATTGCAGAGCATCCAGGACCCTTAAAAACAGGTACATGACTTCTGTAATGTGCATCATAGTTCAAAACAACCCATATGTGCTTTAAAAAGAAAAAAAGGATCCCATTCCATTCTCTGGTGTACACCTTAATCATTTAAATCTGTTTATACACTTTAGAAATTTCAGTACATGTTCCAGTCACAAGGTTTTCTCTTCTGCAATGTTTTGGCTCAGTTTGTCCTTTTTTCCTCCCCATTGAAGGTGAATGTGTGAGGTGTATGTTCTGGAATAATCTTGGTTGTATCCATTTTGCCATGGGGAAGCACAACCTGGGTCTATTTTACTTTAAAAAGGCACTTCAAGAAAATGACAACACATGTGCCCAGCTTGGTGATGGCGGTAACGGGCAGGGTAAGAGAAATGAAATCCATCTACATGCCTGATGATCATAATAGATATAAATCTCATAATAGGAAAAAAAATGTGTTGTCTTAAATAATTTTATTATTATTTTTCCACAGCAGCTAAGATGTTCACGGGCATCCCCATGTGTGCTCTGTTAGCTAATAAGCGCTATGAGTTGCTGTATAACTGTGGGATTCAGTTACTTCATATCGGGCGACCGCTGGCAGCGTTTGAGTGTCTGATGGAGGCGGTGCAGGTGTATCACTCCAGCCCTCGACTCTGGCTCAGGCTCGCAGAGTGCTGCATCACAGCTAATAAAGGGGTACTCACATTAACACACACGTTTTTAAAATGAAAGAACCCCTTGCTTTCCTAAATGTGGCAGGAATGTATGTATACTTAAACTACCATTCAAAAGTTTGGGGTTGGTAAGATTGACAGAGGTGGAAAGAGTACCTGAAAACCATACTTGAGTAAAAGTACAGATACCTTACAGTGAAAATGACAGTCTCCAATTCCAATATTGCGTGAGGAAAAATTTTAGATTATCTGATTTTACCAGTACTGAAGTGTTTTACTCACACTGAATGTAGGCTCAAAGATGCACTAGCCGTCAACAACCAAGAGACATGTCAGTGAAAAACAAAACAAAAAACAGCTGATTTGTGAGGAGAGCAATCATGTTTATTTTCTAAATTTGAAATAAAGCTAAAAATTGCAATAAATCAAGGTCGACACAACAGCCCCTTAAAAAAACACAGTGTCAGTTAAGTTAAAAAAACAAGTGTCAGTTAAGCTCAAGTTGTCAGAAATGGCATTAGTAATCAAACATCTTTTAATAAGGTCTCTTCAATGTAACAGATAAATCAAATAATGTCTAGTAAAATGAAATAGTCAAAGCCGACTTTTACTGGACATGCTGGTTTCAGCCTCATCATGTCCTCAACTCATATGAAACACCTGTGATTCAGTAACTTCCTTCTAATGCACTCATATTTATGTAAAGTAGCCTTGTTGACAAGTTTGAGCAAAATCACAAGATATAATACATTTAAAGGAGTAGTTTACTTTTAAAAAAAAAACTTTTGCTGATAATTTACTCACCCCCATGTCATCCAAGATATCCGTGACGGTCATTCTTTCTTCAGTCGAAAAGAAATTAAGGTTTTTGATGAAAACATTCCAGGATTTTTCTCCATATAATGGACTTCAATGGGAACCAACCGGTTCAAGGTCCAAAAGACAGTTTCAGTGCAAATTGTTCAAAGGGCTATAAACGGCACCAGACGATGAATAAGGGTCTTATCAAGCGAAAAGATCGCTCATTTAAAAAAAAAAAATAAATAACAAAGTTTAAGTTTTATAAGCTCATTTTGAGCTTATAAAACCTAAACTTTTTTGATAAACGTTCATTTTGATAAACGAGTCCGAACAGGAGAGTCACGAACACGCATCACAGAACAGCATTTGAGCTTATAAAACTTAAACTTCATTTTTTTTTTTTTTTTAAATGAGCGATCGTTTCGCCTGATAAGACCCTTATTCATCGTCTGGAATTGTTTAAAGCCCTTTGAACATTTTGCAGTTTGCACTGAAACTCTTTTGGACCTTGAACCGTTTGGTTCCCAGTAAAGTGCATTATATGGAGAAAAATCGTTGAATGTTTTCATCAAAAACCTTAATTTCTTTTCGACTGAAGAAAGAATGACATGGATATCTTGGATGACATGGGGGTGAGTAAATTATCAGCAAAAGTTTTTTTTAAAAGTGAACTACTCCTTTAATGCCCTGTAGATGGCGGTCTTTCGTAGCAGAAAAAGTTAGGTGCCATGCAAAATGTGACTACATTTGTGATGAGTAATGTAATTACAAATGTATTAAAGTAAAGCTTACATAAACCTATTCAAAAAATGTTATAATTACATTATAATTATCTTTGATACTCAATGAAGTACAAAGTAGCCAAAAAAGATACTTGAATACAGTAACTTTAGTTGGTCAAATAAATGCTGTTCATTAAAGAATCCTGAGGAAGAAAAAAAAATGTATGGATCTCGGTTTTCACAAAAAAAAAAAAAATATTAAGCAACACAATTATTTTGGTTGTGTAATGGCTGCTGAAAATACAGTTTTGCCAGCAAAGGAAAAAAAAATACATTATAAAAATAGTAGAAATCTGTTATTTTCAAAAAACATATTTCACAATGTGGCTTTTTATATTGTATTTTTGAAATGCAATTTTGTGAGCTAAATCTCTCTAAAAGATTTGAATGAAAGAAATTTTACCAACCCCAAACTTTTGAACAGTACTCTACATTAGGTTTGCCTCGTTTAAAGGCCTGTTCACACCCAAATACTTAAATGACACCAAAGTATTATATATTTGTAAACTATATTTTCCACACTAAATTGCAGTTTAAGTATTTGAGACGTGATGTATTTTTTTGATGTATCTTATGCATGCTGAAAACTAGGTAAGACCATTGCGTTTACCCAAAAGCATTGTAGACTCCTAAGTAGACTGCAGAAACATTACCACCAATGGTCTCTAAGATCAACTTAGATCATGAGGCTTTTGAGAAACGCAGCCCAAGTCTTTAGAATTTCTTTTAAAGTAGGAAACGCTTTGGTTGAGTAGAGGATTTTGAGAATCATTTGAGTTTTTATAACATCCATGCCATTTTGACATTGGTACTTTGATAAATAAACTTTTTGTTGTTTCCTTTAGAGCACGGAGCAGGAAACAAAAGGTTTACCCAGTAAAAAGGGGATTGTTCAGGCTGTTGTTGGGCAGGGCTACCATCGCAAGATTGTTCTAGCATCACAGTCCACACAAAACACCATCTACAGGTGAGGATGATTGATTTAACTGACGTGTATTTATTTAACTAGTTATTAAAAGTGTTAGAAAAGTAGCTGTTTGAGATTGTGTGCCTGATTGGAGGGGTGTAACTAGATTTCAAATTGGTGAAAGTACTGTAATGTCAGAGTCTCTCCAGAAGATGTCATCCTGTTGCACTTATTCTAGAAGTAGCATTCAAAGATATCGGCTTATACCAGCTTATACAAAAAAAAAAAAAAATCCTTATGCATTTCCATGCTAAATTGTATGTGTTTGTGTGCAGTGAAGGGCAGTCAGCTGCAATCCCAGTGGCCAGTATGGAGTTTGCAGCAATCTGTCTGCGTAACGCTTTGCTCCTGCTGCCTGAGCACCAGCAGCACGACAGCAAACCCGACAACAGCTCCAAGAGTTGCAGTCAGCCGGGCAGCACAGAAAGCGGCAGCGAAACCAGCGATGCCTGCAGGTACATGTACATGCATGCTGGCAAAAACAGATCCCAGACTAGATTTAATACAGTTGAAGATTTAATTTGCTGAACACATTTCAGAACTTGTCAGATACCCTCTTCTCACCCTTTGATGATAGAGATGATCTGGTGACTTGGATTTTTTCTTTGACTGACAGTGGGAAGACCCAAGAGGGAGACAAGTTCATTCCTGCTGCGCCCTCATCACCCTTGAGAAAGCAGGAGGTGGAGAATCTAAGGTGAGGTTACTGGAGACTTTTCTGGAATGAATTTCTCACCTCACATAAAAGGAGATGCTCGCGCCTTGCATGGCTGACACCGCCGTCGGTGTATGAATGAGTGAGTGAATGGGTGAATGTGAGGCAATATGTAAAGCACTTTGGTGGCCATTGGGTGTGTGAAAGCGCTGTATAAATACAGTCCATTTTTTAACACATTTGATTTGGCTCAGCCCATTGTGCGACGAAATGTTGCTAGCTAGTGCTAAAGAGATATTCTTACTCCGTTTTCCAATACAAATATCTTAAATTCCTAAATCAAAAAACATTTACTTGAGAAGAAAATTACATCAGATGTCTTATGTTAAATCAAAATTAAGAGTTTATGCTCTAAGTAAACAAGAACATGACGGATTTATTTTCTTTTTTAAGCTTAAACACTTAAAGGGATAGTTCACCCAAAAATGAAAATTCTGTCAGTTTTTACTCACCCTCATGTTGTCCCAACCCCGTAAGACCTTCCTTCATCTTCGGAACACATTAAGATATTTTTTGATGAAATCTGAGAGCTGGATCACTCCTCCATAGGCTTCTTAAGGGATTGAAACTTGAAAAGTTATTAGATATCGTTAAAATAGTCCAAGTGACTACAGTGGCTCAATCCTAAGTTTATCAAGCGACAAGAACACTTTTGTGTGCCAAAAAAACCCAAACAAAAATAACGACTTTATTCAACTATTAATTTCCTTCTCGGTGATCCTCGAGTGAGTTCACTAGTGTTAACAGCGTAACCTTCTGTTGTTTTACGTCACACGCATCACACACATGACCAGCGTCGGCCAATAGTGAGCCTATGTGTGACGTAGCTCTACGCAATTACACTAGTTTAACTGACTCTCTAGAGCCCATAGAGAAAGTAAATGAATAGTTGAAATAAAGTTGTTATTTTTGTTTGTTTTTGCGCTCAAAAAGTATTCTTGATGCTTGATAAACTTAAGATTGAGCCACTGTATTCACTTGGACTATTTTAAGGATGTCTTTAAAGGGTAGCTAAACCCTAAACCAACTTATTTTAGTTAATGATCTGTAAGAATGGGGCTTTATTAATGCTGATCATTGATTCGAGTAACTTTTTTTGACATTTGGGTATAAAGTGTTTTATTTCTACAATATATGGTGTAAAAACGTCTTAGGGCTGCCCTCTTCAGGTTGAAAGATGGCTACTGCAGTTGAATTTTCCTATTGGATGTTTGCGGTTCTTCGTGGCGTACACAGGTTTCAGCTCACCACGCCCTTGGTACGAGCTACCACGTCCTCGGCATCTTGTTTCGTCAAAACCACCGCGAGTCAAGAGTTGGAATTACAAGTATTGAAAACGATCTGGATAGGGTATTGTATCATCTATTTAGCATAGCATTTATGTAGTTATTTAGATTATTTTGCATAGCCTAGTTAGTTAGTAGCATAGTACAGTTAGGATAGCTTCATCTGATAGATTTATCTGTGTTTAGTACAGTGATCATTAGGGCTGGGTAATAAATATTGATTTCTCGATATTAATCGATTCTCATTTTTACGAACCGATATCGATTCTTAAATCTCAAGAATTGATTAGTCATCCTGTTTCATTTGATGAATGGATCATTGTATCGCGGCTGCGCGCATCCAAAAAAATCGCAATAATCTTTGTCCTTTGTTACTATTGATATGAAACAAAGTCTCAATTTTCAAAATATAGCTGCGAGCAGCGATTGCGGGCCCAAGCCGGTGGCACCGCAACCCCGATGCCTTTAGTTACCCAAAGGCACCGGGATGGTGGTACCGCCGGCTTTGGCGCTTTATCGCTGCTCACATCTATATTTATATTTAATATAAAGCCGGTGGCACCGCCACCTTGGTGCCTTTAGGGTTATTCTGTACGACGTGTAAAAACGTAACCCCCGCTTTGACTATCAAAAAGAAGTGTATTGTAGAGCTTGCATCAATGCGGACTCGATGCGCTGTGCGCTGTAACTCCATGTGGCTTTAAGCGCATCATTCTCCACTCGGGATGCGCATAAGCGTTTTGTGCCACACTGTACTGAGCCTTTCATATCATAATGCAGTGACGCAATGACAGATTATTAATTGCCTTTCTTGTTCTGTTCTATCTATTATATGTTGATAATAGATAGGACAGAGCACTAAAAACCTCAAACAAAGCACTAAAAACTTAAGCTGTTTGCTGTGTAGTCTGAGAATGAGCTGTTTGATTTGCACCCTCTTCCTCTTCACTGTCCTCCATAAAAACCAGCTATTCAGGTCCATGTTGTTCTAGAAAGTTTGTATGTTGCTGCCTCAATTAACATCTCTGCTATACATTTAAAACATGGCTATATCTAAAATAATGTATCTTTTTGATTTTTGTTATCTTATTTTTCATGAATATTTTACAACAATACAAAGAGCAATGTGTATTTTCCATTAATATAGTTTGTAATGGCTTTTTTTGTCATAGATTATAATCATATATTTTTTGGATTTGTTATTTATCTTTATAATGAAGTTGTCTGTATTAAGTAGATTGTGTTTAACACACACAAGAGTGATTTATTAGTTCAACACATAGTTATAGAAATTCTACTTTATCTAAAAAAAACCCTGCACTTTATACACACACACACACACACACACACACACACACACACACACACACACACACACACACACACACATAAATACATGTAAATAAAAATCCCAAAAAAAAAAAAACATCAAATGTGTTTTTAGTCAGAGTATTATTTTATACAGAAACAAATATTTGTAATTCAGATAAGAATGAAGTTAGTGTTTTAAAATCTTAAGGAAAACAAATATATTGAAATATAGCACATGAATTTTAAATTCATTCAACTTCAATTACAAATACAATCTTACTTTTATTTAAAGCAAACTATACATTTAAAAGATGGGGGTTATATGCCTATTTTGTCATTTAAAAATATTGTTATGCAAAATTGTTATGCAAAAAGACAAGGACTTAGAGACAAGGACTTGTAAGAAAAATCGCAGCCAGCCACACACACACACACATAAACACAGACAACAGCCCTCCCCTCCCCACACAGACACACACACCCACACACACACACACACAGAGAGAGAGAGAGAGAGAGAGAGAGAGAGAGAGAATCGCAGGGGAAATAAATCCATTCAAACTACAATATCTGACTTTCTGTTGCTCAGAGCGAATGACTTTAAATTGGAAAGTTGATCGTCTTGACGAGAACAATATACGTGGTAAGTTTTGTAACTGTAGGTAAATTGAGCAAAGTTATAACACACTTTATGTGTCCTTTTTTAGTCATAAAATTCATTTCCTCGCCACGGCCAGACCGTTCGAGATATCAAAAATCCGTCCGGAATTGAGCATCCTCAATGTCTTGACTTCATGCACACCGAGTTTGGTTGTGATTGGTAAACACATGCATTGTGATTTGATGTATTTCTCCTAGGACAATTATTCAAACAACCCATAATTCATAATTCATAAATAACTTCCATTTGAACTGTCATAAAACTTAGAGCACGAAAGTTGTTTGGCCTGATGTGATCTTTAATTGTACCGAGTTTCATATTAATTCATGCAAGTGTGTTTGATTTATGGACAAATTTTTGAATCCCAGTCCAGGGGGCGCTGTCGAGCCGCCCTGCCACGCCCGGTTACCAGCTTCAGCCCGCCCTGATGGCCATGGGTTCTGACCCGTGTGCAAAGTTTCAAGAGTTTTAGAGGATGTTAAGGCCCCCGAAAATGCCAGAGAAGTTGCACACAGCAAATAAAGGGTTAAAATTAACCTGACAGGCGCCCCTCCTCTCACTCACACAGAGAGACACTGAGAGACTGGCAAAATTCTGAGATTTTCTCTACATTCAAACAAACATATCTGACTTTCTGTGGGTCCTAGCTAATGAGTGTCAATTAGAAAGTTGTCCGGCTCGAGGAGTACAATATACATACTGATTTTTGTAACTGTAGATAAAACTAACAACCCCACTTTTGTCAAAAGGTGGCGCTACTGAGCCCTCACCACACCCGTTTCTGAAACGTTGCACATGTCTACTGGCTAATAAATGTGATGTGTCTGTCGAGTTTCATGCAATTTGAAGCATGCTAAGGGTCTCAAAAGCATCCAAAAAGCATCCTAAAAGAAGGGTAAAGTTTGATGCGTCGCCACGGCAACAGTTTCAAAGATATCAAGAATCCATTCACAGGTCTACATCTGCCATATGTTTACATTATACATATGAAGTTTGAAGCAAATCGGGTAAAAATAAAAGGGTGATATCAAAGCATTTTGAAAGTGACACACTTCCTGCTGCCAGTTGGTGGCGCTATAACTTTGACTCACAATAGTCACATCCATGTGATCGTCCTCTTACAGCGAACACACTGCTGAAGTTTCATCAAGATCAGTTAATGTATGCTGAAGTTATAACACACTTCCTGTTTCACGTTTCTCGCCATGATTTCGTTTCCTCGCCACGGACAAACCGTTCGAGATATAAAAAATCCCCTCGCAAACTTTCATCCTCAATGTCTTGACTTCACGCTGACCGAGTTTCGTCGAATTTGGATCAAAGCTCTAGGAGGAGTATATGACATTCCATTGCGAGCGTTTTACAAACAAACCTCAATAGCCGACTTCCTGTTGGGCTGGGGTAAAAAGTAAGAGTGTGAGGTATAGATGAAACGATGAGATCAACATGTGTACCGAGTTTCATATTATTACATACAAGCGTGTTTGAGTTATGGACCAAGTGTTCCGACCCCGTTCCAGGGGGCGCTGACGAGCCGCCCTACCACGCCCGGGTACCAGCTTCAGCCCGGCTCTGATGGCCGCGGGTTCTGACCCGTGTGCAAAGTTTCAAGAGTTTTCGAGCACGTTAAGGGCCCCAAAAGTGCCCAAAAGGTAGTAAAATAATAATTATTATAATAATAGTGAAGAAAAATAATCGCAAGGAAAACAATAGGGCCTTCGCCC